AAGCTAGCAGCAGATAGTAAATTAGGAATTGTGCGATTGCTCCTCTAGACAGGATAGTTGTTTAGCGTTTGAAACAACTTGTGGCTGGCTAACATGAGAGCCTGCGTTGTTGAAACAGCAGCCTGCAAGGCCATTTCTTCATTTCATGTGGTGTTAGTAGGACTTTAGTTGTTCCTCTGAGCAGGTGATCTGCGGATGTGATGACTGTGGCATTGATTTTACGTTTTTTATGTTTTACGACGTAATGGTGCTCAGGTTGGATGGTAACGATAAATAATTCATGTGCCATTTTGACATAAATAATTCCTTAAAATAGACAAAAGTCATTATGATTTGAACCAGAAGTATTTGCGTAAGGAACTGTATCATTGGAGACATCTCCGGCTCTTGACTTATTTCTCTCATAACGTTTTTGTGTAACATCACTGCATTTTCAAATCCCGTGGGCCAAGAAGCATTTCACGAAGTGACTGTTCACGAAGTCACTATTAGACTGTTTTCTTAATGGATAGTTAGGAAGTTCTAACGTAAGACACAGGCGTAAAGGTTTGATAACAGTCGAGATATTTCGTTGCCATAATCGGTAACAACATTCAGTCCTGATTACTTTACTAGTGATGGTAAAGAAACACTTTGACTATTAGTAAGGCTTTTGTATCTGTTTTATGTTCAGATTTCTTAACCGTACATCAGGGAAACAGTCGTCTGGTAATAAGTTTTGGGCCACAACCAAAAACTTTCAAGGAAATTCTGTATTTCGTGAAAGGAATGAACTGTTATCACTTGTTTCTTAGAAATAAGTTTCTTAAAAGCTAGCGAGTTTTACCCTTTCTCTGGATTCTTAGCAGTAAACTGTATGTAGCAGGTGCTCTGCAGCCGTTTGGTACGTAGCTTTGTACCACAGCATGACCCGACTCGCTTAGATATATGACAGTTAGCTAAACTAGGTCCAAACTTAGGTCAACATTATTGTTGTAATTACATAATTGGGAATATCTTTGCATATTGAATTCATTTCCAGTTTGACACTCGATTACCGCCTAGATTTCATACCACCCTGCTCAAACCGAAGAAGAAGCCAAGCAAGACACGGTTGAAAACGACGCAACTTTCGTGTTACTCGGCGAACTACGAAAGTTTACAACGTATCGTGTTTCGGTTATACCTTTCAACCGCGCCGGTGACGGCTTGCTTTCCTCAATCGAAGTTACGACTAGCGCCGATATCCCTGGACCTGTCGGCTCACTGACTTTCAGTGACATTTCTGTCGATTCGGTGAACGTTAGCTGGATGGCCCCCGCTGAACCTAACGGCAAAATCTTGGGCTATCGTGTTACTTACAGAACGGGCAGATTCGACAATGGTAGATCTACATTTGTTGTTGAAGCCTTTC